TCCCTACACTTAACACTTTACTAACACATTCGTACCTGTAAAATACAGACTAGAGAGACAATGAGAAGATAAGCAATATGCGCTAGCTTTATCTGCCTACCAGCATTCCGAGCTGTGGCCACAGAAGAATGGGATTTGAAGCCAGAGCTTCTCTGGAGCACAGTCTGAGCCACCCTCCGCTACACATTCATCAAAGGTCTGGAACAAAAACCAAACAGCACAGGTAAGCCATAAATCCAAGGCTAGTGAGCTATTGAATAAATGGGTGGGAGTAGGTGAGACAAGACAGTCAAATGAAAGGGAGAGGCTGATCACAAAAACATACTTAGATACCGAGGAAAGTTAAACATGGATTTTTCTTACAACTTTGTTTTGTGCCAATGTTTAGAAAAATTATTTTATTACAGGAAACCACGCCCCCCCAAGATAATAACTTTTCCTTGAAAATAAGTACTGGTTTATGTTAAATTTGTGTATTTATACTTTCGTACTAAAGCACATTATGCATTTGAGATGATGTAACATAGATACACCAGAGGACAGATCCGGGGGTCTGGTTGTGGCAATGAGACGTCTACAAATACCACCTGTCTGGGCCTCCCTCCTTCTGTCCCTCTTTTCCTTCCTCCCTCTTTTCCTCTCTCCTGACTCCTTCCTTCCTTTTTATTTTTTTACATCTTATTTCTTTAAGGCTTTGGTCATAGGGCACATTGCTTGCCACAGAGACAGTGAAAGTAAGAAATCACCCCGCAGTGGGGATGACCATGCCACAATTCCTTCTCCTCTCGTCTCCTTCTGGAACTTGGGGCGCACATGTAGGTCAGCGTCACAGAGCACGTTTTACAACTGTACTACGATTCGGCTTCATGATTCTATCTTTTAAAAAAAAAAAAAAAGAATTATTTAATTTTATTTATTCATTCATTTTTAATTTTTAAAAAGTGGGAAATCAAGCCACCAAGCCCAGGACTCGAACCATGGTTGGCCATGTGGGAGTGTCCAGCACCTTAACCACCACGCCACCTGCTGGTCCCCATGATCCTATCTTAAATCTTTAGGCCTCCAGGCCTCACCATCCCCCCCCCACTTTATTTATTTCTTTATAGAGAGGCACACGCTCCAGTCTTCATGCCACTACTCACCCCAGCCTCAGTCAGCCAGGATGATGGGCATGCACGTACACCCGGTGCATATAGGGAGACCTCAGGATGTGAACCTAGGACCTTCCCATTTGGCACCAGCATTGCAGAGCACTGCACTACCTTGTAGGCCCAGGCCTCACCTTTCTAATCTATATAATTACATAGATAATAAGCTCACAGGGCTCCTTCAACCAAATATGCGAATAACGGCCCAAAAAATCCTTAATCTTGGGCCAGCCAGTGCTGTTGCGGTTAAGGGGCTAGATTCCACATGGTTGACTGCAAGGCTCGAGTCCTGGACCCGGCAGCTTGAAAAACACACCAAGCGCATGTGTATGTGCGCTCAGAATCCCAAGAGGAGAATGGAGGAGAAGGGAGTATGGTGTGGCCTTCCCCCCAGGGAATGATTTCTCACTTTCCCTCTCTCTTTTCCTCTCTCTCTCTCCCCCGACCCTGGGAAATGATTTCTCACTCCCCTATAACCCCCATGAGTACACACACTCTGTAGCAAAACTAAAAAAAAAAAAAAAAATTATTAGTCTTGACTATGGGTGGAGCTACAGTGGAGTGATTATTTTCATTCTGGCAATATTCAAGAGGCGAGAACCAACTGCAGCCTACAATTTCTTTGCTCATTTCTTTTCACAGATGACCTTCACAATACTCTGAAAACATCCATGACTTGGGTTTGAATAGCAAACCTGGACAACTTAAGTTTTGTGTTACATTTCTTCATCTGAAAAATGAGAGCACAATCTTATTTTGAGGCACAAATAAAATCATGAAAGTATTAGGTTGTAGGG